GGGAGCGGAGCTGCCGCAGGCCGCGCGGGAGCCCCGGGATGGCGGCGGCCCCGGGCCCGGCCGGCGGGCTCGCCTGCAGACCAAGCCCCGCGCGTGGCGGGACGCGCGTGGGGAGATAACGCTTTGGCTCTGGCATCTAGGGCTGGAGGCACGTGTGAATCCCGGGGAAAGGGCTGCGCGCCTGTCGTGTGGAGAGCGTGGTTCAGTCCTCATGGAAGAGGATCAGGTAGAGACCTAAAGAAAAAAGGGGGAAAGAATGAAGTTGCTATAGGACACCCCCAAACGAGGGATGGAGAGCCTGGATAATCCTGGATACTGGACCCAAAGGCAGCCAGGTTGAAGGAACTAGGGGAGCACCCATCCAGGAGTGGCTGGACCCAGCAAAGAGGAGGCGTCAAGAGCAGTGTTGAAAGAGATGGAGAGGTTACGGAAGGAAGGGAAACATGGATGTGTGCAGTGTAATGCAAAGGGATTTTGCCCCCTAAAGCTCATTTAGCACCCGAGAAGACAGCGGAAGAGTTCGGGCACGGCTCAATACGCAGCTGTAAATGCAACCTGGTAAATCTGCTGGGCAGTGAAGCCAGCAGGACGAGCGCGCGAGAGCGCGCAGAGGTGCAGAGAGGATCCCAGGAGGCGGCAAGAGGAGCACTGCCCAGGAGGGGCAGCCGGAGACGAGACCCCGCGCGCCCCTCCGCAAGGAGAGCGGTACTGGGAGCTGCGGTTCACTTAGGTTTGTTAGATCGACGGGATACTGCAGGGCTGATGGTTGGAGCATCGCTGCTCGGCTTCCTCCGGTCCCCTTGCTGACTGCAGGGAGTTTGCGAAGCTTGGTGCCCACTGGCTCCTCACGGAGCATTTGGAAGGACGGCAAGCGGTTCATTCCTGTTCCTTCAATAAAATGAATGTGTTCACTCCTTGTGTGTATAATGTGTGATACAGTGTCAAATTATAACTAGAATTCATTTCTAAAAATGCAATCTTATATGAATATGCATCTCATATGACAAGTATTCAGACACCACAGCTCACACTCTGTGTCCTCATAGCTATCTGTACAATAAATGTAGAGTGACGGTGGGCATCATTTATTTTACTACCAATCAAATATACAGTGTACAAGTATCCCTCAAAAGAGAGTCCCCGAAGGATTGTGTTCTACCCATATCTTCTTGACAACGAAAAATGTTTGAAACTTCAGCTCACATCTAGATACAGTGCTTCAAAGAGACAATTTGCAAATGTCTGTTAAGGCCATATGGAAGGGCTGGCAGAAGGGCAGCTAGTGAACCAGTTATACGTGCCAGGTTCAATTTGTCACACTTTACAGTACTGAGAAATATTTTCTTCTCGTTTTGAAAGAAAAAGAAAACCCTCTCATTAGTAAAGATTCAATGGCATATTTCTCAAAATACATCTTCTATGAATGAGAAGATGCAGTGTGCCTGCCTTTAGACGGCTGGTATCTCAGGTATGTATCAAAACAGGCTTTAATTTAAAGTGATTGCTTTTAAGCATATCAAATAGCAGGACTCTCGGGGCTTAAAGCAGTAGCATTATCTTAACAACAACTCCTATGAGCTGGGAGAATGACAGTTCACAAAATCAAAGAATTTCAAAACTAAGGCATAAAATTGTTAACTGTTGACCACAGCAGGTGCAAATGTAAACGGACAACTAGAGAGATAAAATAAAAAGTGCAGATAATGAAAAAAAATCATCTGTTGTCCTTAGATATAACAGTGATACTCTTTTTAGAATTACATTTGGTAATTAGAATTTGGTTACACTGATTTCAAAATTCCTGATCTGCATTCAGTCTAGTGGGTTTTTGTATTACTTTTATTTTAGAGACTTCATTTTTTTCCAACAATTTGACTCCTTTATGGAAATTGCTTAGCTCAGATAAAGCAGCAGGGACTGGAGCTTCTGAATGAACAGAAATTGAAGGCACCAACTGAGGACTCCAACTGCGAAAAGCATTTGCTGGTACTGTATGTGGTAGTGAAAAATCTGTGTACCATTTATCCGCGCAGGCTGCTCTGCCTTCAGTTACTGCAGTGAAATTCAGACCTTGCTGGAATCCGCGTGAATGTTCCCCCTGGTTTTGCCAAACACAGTGATGCTATCGTAAGCTCATGAGATGTTGTAAATGTCCTTATATTTTATCGAAGTTTAGTCATAAATTTAGGCTAGAAAGTAGAGAGCAGTGATTTTTTAAAAAGATAAAATTACAGTGGGACTTCTGAGGGAGAAACAACTGTTTTTCAGATCACATTCGACATGTTTTATGGTGGGGACTAGGAAGTGTTCTTTTAAAATTTTACCATAACAGCATTTTCTTTTATAAAGACAGATACATTTACTCAGAAACAAAGTAGTATGAAATAATACAGGATGAACAATAAATTGTGACATCAGTGATGTTACGTATTAAATCAACAGAATAGATCCATTGATCCAGCAACAAAGCAAAGAAAATAACTCTTATGACTTAAACTTGCAATGATCAGTGGCTTGAAGGCTAAACTACTCGTCTTTATGAGTAAATCCAACATGTAATTTGAATTTAACAGAACTTGCTTCTTAGATGTAGAGTTGCTAATGAGCCGTCCGTCAATAAGAGAAAGCTGAACCAAGAACTCAGTCATGTCTCTTTTCAGAGTTTTTATATAAAAACAGAATGAAGTAGCTGCAATAGGAAGATAAAATCCTTGAAAAAAAAAGTCTGACTAAAACACACTTAACAGGCTTTCACAGTCCACCCTCGCAGCAGTACTTTCATCTGGTCTAGGATTATTTATTACGAAATCCTGTCAAGCCTTCGACTGGTATTTGCAGTATTTCCTGGAGAGCTTTTCCGATTCTAATGGCTCTTTAGTCCCTGACCTTACCTTAAACATTTCTGGTAGGTCAAAACCAAAGATAAGTATTAGCTGGGGCACAGGGTGGGCCTCTGAGGTGGGTCAGCAAAAATGTACACAGAGAAGAGGAAAAACAGGCCAAGAAGGGCCCGATCCCCTCTGTTAAGTCGGTGGAAGTTTTATGAGAGGCGTCATTGCAAAATCAGGGTCTGAGCTGAACGTCTATCTCCATGTAATTGGAGCAGGTTTTCTTCCGGCATTGCAAGGCGCTCCACCCAAAGCAGATCCCTGGGATTTACGTACACCTTTTCTCGAAGCCAGAACATGGTCTGTATTCCCTTTGCTTTCCTGCAAAGGGTTGAGATGCTTAACATTTCATTATAGCCAACAAGTCCCTGATACCTTTTTAATGAATGTTTTTAACATATAGGGACAATAAAGCTATTTACATTTTTCTTTCCTTTTTGAGACATGGTTTTCCAATATATGGTGAAGCCAGAGAGTTGTGGGCATTAATTCTCGTTATAAACAAAGTGTACTAATCTCCTGGAGCAAAATTGATTGCATATCTAAAAGCGTTACAGCATAGCAACTCTACCCAAAGTTATTGCTAATAGTCCAGTTTACAGAGGACTCCAATGTCAATATTGCAACACCAATATATAAAATATATGAGTATACCAATATATGCTAGCAATATATGAAATATTGCCCAAAATGGGTGATAGCTTTAAGCACACTGACAGCATGGGAACAGCTCCATACAATAAATATTCCACTTGTTGACTGGTCCAGCTGTTATCAAGATCTTCAGACATGTGGAGAGATGTCCAACCTACTTGGGCCTTGATAGCAACCAAGAGGTTCGAATGCCGGGATGTTCCCAGGGATTCCCGAAAATCCCTGAGCTGCAGCTTTCACCCCTGCTGAAGACAAGGCTTGGCTCGCACCCTCGGTCTGCTTATACCTGAAGAAACGTGGGCAGGGGCAGGAGCACGGGAAGGGGCACGGGAAGGGATACGGGAAGAGGCAGGGGAAGGGGCAGGAGCACGGGAAGGGGCACGGGAAGGGATACGGGAAGAGGCAGGGGAAGGGGCAGGAGCACGGGAAGGGGAAGGGACAGGGGAGGCCCTGGGGCGGGGGCAGCGCCGCGGCCGGGGAGGCCGGCGTGGCTGCAGGGCGGCTGCGCGGCGGCTGCTGCCGCCATCTTCAGACGCTGCGATGCGGAGCTGGAGCTGGGCCTGGGCCGCGCGGGCCCTGCGGGTGGCAGCGGCGGCGGGAGCTGGAGCTAGCCGGGAAGCGGCTGCCGGTGAGGCGGGGCGGGTTGACCTGGTGGCGGCGGCGACAGGGTTGACCTGCTGGCGGGGTTGACCTGGTGGCGGCGGGGGTTGACCTAGTGGCTGGATTGACCTGCTGGCGGCAGCGGGCGGGTTGACCTGCTGGCGGGATTGCTCTGCCGGCATCAAAGCGGGGTTGACCTGCTGTCCCGGTTTGCCGCTATTTCCAGCCCCGTTCCCGGAAAGAGGCCTCCCTAAGGCTGGCCGTCTCTCTTGCAGGGCCCGGGAGTGTCAGTGCTGTTTTGCGGAAGCTCTGCTCTGCTGCGGGGCGCTGCGTTTCTTACGAAGAGCTCAAAGACTTGAAAAAAAACAATATCATCCACATAGATGTCCGAGAAAGATGGGAGATCGACAGGTTTGGAAGAATCCCGGAGTCCATCAACATACCTTGTAAGATACTCAGAAATACAGTGCCTAGAAATATTTGCCTAGAAATACAGTGCCTTATTTTTGTTCAGTCATCAAATCAGTGTGATGGCAGCTTAGCTGAAACTTAGCCAAACAGTACCTTGTAAGTTCAAAGACTTGACTTTTTCCAAGGACATTTGAAATCTGCCAGGGTGAACCGATCTGTGGGTGCTGAAGCTCCAGGTGAGATGTGTTTTCCTTGTGTCGCAGTGAGCGAGTTAGCGGAAGCGCTGCAGATGAGCCCAGGGGACTTCAGGGAGCAGTACCATCAGAAGATGCCCACCAAGGCGGACCACGTGGTTTTCTCCTGCTTGGCAGGAGTACGGAGCAAGCAGGCTCTGGATTTCGCCGTGTCCTTGGGTTTCAGCAGGTGAGCCTACAGCTTCTGCTGTAAGGATGGGATTAATGAGGTTGCTGAAAAGCAAAACTCTCACCCATCTTCCCAGCAGCTCTGCTTATGTGCAGAGATATAAACCACTGCAAGACCATGCTGCCTCCGAAAGGTCCTTCTGTCTTTTGCAGCTCCTCTATAAAACACTGCTTGCTTATTCAGCTTCATACACACCTGGCCTGACATTAAGGTGGCAGCAGGATGCTTGGAAAGGTGAAGAACTGCCCATTTTGGTGGAAGTACAATTTTAAATTACATTAAATATTTTATGGAACAGCGCCTTTTGGTAAGTTGCCATCCACCTATACAGCTGATCTAAAAAAATATATGCCTTTGCTTTCAGGGCATCATTTGCCAGAGATAAAATAGTGGAGAGAATAATCAGAAGACAGTGAGATTGATATAACGAAAATGAAAGCAACATTTTGTTGGCAGAATTCTTACACCCTTGACAGAAGCTGTCTCACTGACTTGAAGACTGAATGAAATTTCAACAATTGGTTGTTTTTACTGAACCACAGTTTTTGAACTGGAATAATTCTAGCAATTCCAGTCAAAAAAAAATGGAAATGCCCTTATATTTTTATTTTGATAAGTGCAAAATATTCTTCTTCATACCTGTTTTTCCTGCTGCCTCACTGAAGGAGTCTGTTGTGTGGTGGGGTTTTGTTTCCTTTGTTTAGGTTTGGTTTCTCACAGGCCTATGTGAGATCTGTACAGTATGTGGGTAGGAGTTAAAGATCAGTATGTTGCTTTTACTCAATGACATAATACCATGTAAATCTCCACCACAGTGAGCCAGTTCTCTCAGGAAAGGAAAGGACAAAGGAAAGGAAAGGGCAGTGGCAAACGATTAAACTATTTCAGTGGTGAGCCTGGTATTCCTCACTTGATGTTTAATCTCTAGCCCTGTATCATTTGGAGGAAATGCTTTGCAGAACACACTGGACAAAAAACACTTCTTTGGCACTCTTTATACTGTCTCTGGCTCCCCAAAACTCAGTACAAACATACTTAATTTCAGAGGATTTCTGGACGCTCTGGCGGCTGGATGCCTCCCATTTTTACTTTTGCCATGCTTTCTACCACAATTTTATCAAGAAGAGTCCTTCGTAATATTGACGAATCTTCTGTGTATTTGCAGAGTTCAGCACTATGCTGGTGGCTTTGAGGAATGGGCAAAACGTGAACATCTAGAGAAAAAATGAAGATGATCACCCTGCTGCTGCCCCACGAAGGCTTCAAGATGATTTGTTTGTTGAAATTGTTCGAGATGAAAGAGTTTTAATATTCAGACCATGTGGATTCCAGTTCCAATATATAGCCCTCTCCTGTTTTCTTTTGTAACTGGACATGCACCTATAAGTAGCTGTGCATTTTAACTGATGGTATAAATCAAATCTGAAGATTATTATCTGAACAGAGAATTTTATGTTTGTTCAACATTTACCGTGGGCTGTGTTTTTCACTGTGACTTTTCATAGTTACTGTTTACTAGGGTTTTGTGTAATATGGTTTAAGGTTTTGTGTAATGTGATTTGCTTAAAAAATAGTGATAAAACTTTCTTATAAATTTATATTTTGCCTATTAGCTATGTTGGCAGTTTGTTTAGAATAGTCTGCAGTTAGTCCAATAGAGTTGGGGTAACTGTGCTAAGTGTAAACTTATTCTACCACTGGTACAGTTACAGTTCTGAAACATTGCCTGTGTTCCAAACAGTGCAAGGAGACTGACAAGCTATGTGATTGCAAGACCTAAAGTCAGTCACAAAATATAACAAGAAGCTGACCTAATGTTAGAATACTTGCCTTTTAAAATGTTGTGCAGTTTCTTATTTTTGAAAAAGTATATCTGTATTTGTACACAAATCTACTGTTGTTTACAAAATGCTACGACATGCAGTCAAATGTTTTTGTTCCTGTGGCAGCTCAGTGTCAAGTGGGAACTTGCCTGCTACAGAGCTGTAATCATTGCAGGGTAAAAAACTTGAGGTGTCCAAGGAAGTTACTTCACTCCCTTCTTTCTTTCCTGTACATAAATTTGTATGGCTGAGACTTTAAAAAGCAACCAAACCCATCCCCACCTATGAATTTGCATATAGTTTTAAGATATTTTTAATACTGTTAACAATTCAGAGAAACTAGCAAAGCTGAATTGCTTTGACCTCTGGAAAACTTCTGTTTCTGCAGTGTCTGGAAAAAAGGAATAAAAACTTCCCCTATTTCTGCTCTCATTAGTATTGCTGGTGATGGACACCTCTTTGGGAGCTTTTCTATTCCGACAGTGCAGTTTGAATGGTGAGACAAAATAGAGGACCAATAGACAGCTTGGCAAGTTTAGAGAGCAGGCAAGATGAGGTAGGTGATATAACTAGAATCATATTTGTTCCCTGCTCTCATTTGGTTGTGCAGCAGGGCTGCAGTAAGTGCAGGCAGCTCTGCCAGCCGGGCTGGCCTGGCCGTGTTTCTTGCAGCTTAGGTGCTGCCTGTGCTCTCCTCTTTGCTAGTAATTGGAGAGAACTGTGGTCAAGGTGTCTAATAGTGAGTAATGCATTTTTCGTCAAAGTATCATTGGGTCTTTAGCAATCTTACTGCAAGGGCTTATTTCTAGCTCATAAAGGGAAAAAAAAAAAAAAAAAAAAAAAGGTTAAATGAGGAATGAGAATGTAGGCCTAGCTTCTAAAAATACTGAGGTTTAGCTGATGAATTATTGAGAGTAAGATGAAATTAAAATGAGTGGGTGTGATCTTGTTGTCATTCTTGGCTACTCTATTTTTTGCTATTTTTCTCTTTTTTTTTTTTTTTTTTTTTTTTCCAGGCTGGTCAGGAGGAGTAACAGATGCTGTCAGGTGTGTTGGATTTGGCCAGATCTACCGTCTTTTAATTTTGCCTCTTAATGTGACACACATTGTTGTGACCATGTAATCAAAGGGGCAACTGAAGTCCTGCCAGATCTCCTCAGGAATAACAACACCTTTCGACATGGATCATGAGGGTCAAATAGTAGTATCCGAAACACTTGATGCATCACGCCTGGCTGTACAGGCCAAATCACCAAACTTTACCATGGGGCTAAGCAAAGAGACTAACAACTAGTGCGGTAGAAATATCTAAAATTACATGGCCATGAAACATGAACAACAGTGTTATAGTGGCTCACAGCAGGGCCAGTCTAGCTCGTTATTTTGTTTGGCAACAACCACTAAGAGATGTCTGAGCACGACCTCGAAGCAGGATAAGCACCGAGTGACCCCATCCCCAGAGGAACCTGATACGTGTCAGAGAGCTGTGAAAGTTTCTTCAGGCATGTCCTGAGCATGTCCTGCTGTGATGGGATCTTTTGGAGCTTTCTTTCCAGAATCCATCCACAACTATCTAGCTGTCGCATCCTCCTGGAGCAGGGCAATTGTGGCTCAACTCCCTGGAAATAACTTTTTCCCTTTGTATGTTCTAAATTTGCCCTCTATCAGATAATTTCATTTAGTGACCCTATTTCTTCTGCCAAAAGAAGTGCTGGACAGGAGTCACCCATTCATTCTGCAGGCCACTTAAAATTTTCATAGAGTTTTGCTCTCTTTTCAGGGTGAAAAGTGCCCTTTTCATGTGAATGCCATGGCACACCTCTGATCATTCTGCCATCTTTTTGTGATCTGTAATCGCTTTGAGATGAGGTTGTGGTACGAACTCAGTAACTTCATGGAATTAAAAAAAAAAAATAAAAATCAACATACATTTTCTAGCAATCACTTGTGGATTTGATATCAACTGTTAAGTAACTGAATTAGGGATACGCCTTTTAAAAACAATTTTTAAAAACAATTTTTAAATTTAAAAACAATTTACACTTCTAAACTACTGAACAGATGTGTGATGGTTTCATTCTGTAAGCTTCCCCTTTACATCTTTGTTTTCTATTTTCTGTATTTCTTCACTAAATCCTGTTGCTCTGACCTCAGTTCACTGCTTTTGCCTGTTTGCAAGTAGAGAGGGAAAGATGATTCCTTCCAGTACAGGAATCATAGAGATACCTCTGCTTACTCCGAAGAAGTGCTGGGCCTTTAGCTGAGGCCTAGGCCATACAGTTGCAAAGTAAAGTCTGCAAAGACTTCACAGCTGTAAGAAATCCTTTCTTTCATCTGTTTTTCCCCCCTCTAATCAGAATAATGTAAAATAATTAAAAAAAAAAAAGTCTATGTTAGCTAGCATGTGACAGCTGTTAGAAGACTAATGTTTAAATTAAAGAACAGTTTGTGTTTATAAACTACACAGGTCAGGTGGGTCAGGTTGCATTAATTTATTCCTATTCGCCAACTCCACATTACAAATAACGCATTTTAGACTTCAAGAAACTAAGATAAATAGCCAAATTCACTTTGTCAATTAAGTGTTTATAAAGATACGGATGAAATTCCAACAGAAATAGCAAAGGCCAAAACACACACATTTTCCCTCTCATCATGAAGTGGTTTGGGCTCATCATCTGATGTTTTACAAAAATAACTTGAACGGTAATAAATGCAAATAACCTAATTAATTTCCCACAAACACACACATTTTGGTCACATTTCACTGAATGGCAAATTAGAGATCTGCCTGCAGAAACAGAGTCTCTTTTTTCAAGTTGTTGAGTTTTTCTTTTTAACCAAAAGCACCACTGACCAATTTACCTCTAATATTTCAAGTTAGTCCGCCCTGTTGATTTATTTCAGAAGAATAAAAAAAGAAAAAAGAAATTGTACAACCATGTTACTGCACTTTATTTTATTGTTTAGCTTTTGTACTTGGGTAAGTCAACTTTCTTATTCAAAATTGTACAGAAATTGTTTAGGAACAAAATTATCTAAAAATCAGCAAGTCTGATCTAGGCCAATTCCTGACTTTACTGGGAGATCTGCCTGAGTAAGGAGCACAGGACATGGCCTTTTCTTGGAAGGAATCTCATTTTCTCCAGCATATAGTTCACCAAGGAATCCCATTTCAGTTACTCTACACAGTTGCTCTTAGGATCATTATGAAAGTTAGCCAGTATGAAGCTCACGGATCCTCTTAAATAACCTCTCTAATGAACCACACAAATTCACACCAACAGTGAAGGCAGACTAACAGTGTATATCTTTTGTACCCAAAAAAAAAAAAAAAATCCACAATAAAAATAGCACTTGTATCCAGATTTGTATTTGATCAATCACTTGTAGAATATTCCGATTGCACCACACAGTACAGGTAAGGGCAAGTATATCAGTGTCTTGGGTTGGTTTTTAGCTCCTAACACTTGAAATGATTAAGAAAACTGCAGAAACACTATACATATTGCACTTTTCTGGTAAGCTGGGCTACTAGGTTTCGTGGTAAAAACATCCAAGTACATCTACTGAGTAAAGGAGCATTTCTCTAATCCAAAAGGGAACTGAGTTGCTTTCCTGCAGTTTTAATTGAAACAACACTCTTTGTGGACTCTTCTAGGTTTGATTCTGAAGAATTCCTGTTTTACCTGTTAAGTATCCACAGTTATTTTTTTTTAAAAAAAAGTAATGAATAGATTTAAGAGACAGTGCACTATCTTCCTTCAGTCACAAACAAAATGAAGACAACACAGGTCATCAATATAGTTATACTTAGGCTTCAGCTTACTGTTGCTTTTTTTAAAAAAAAGTTCACTTTGATGGCAAGCTACAACTTCCTCAAAGCAAACAAAACCCGTTTGTTTTGAGGGGATAGTGTTAATCGTCTGCAGCTTGGTTTATGTTTGATTCCTTACACTGAGAAGTCTTAGCATGTTTGCTCCAGCTTCAGGGAAAATGATGCAGTTTTAAAGAAAAAGCTTTCAAAATGCTTGACAGAAACAAGCTATTTATTCTTCAAGTTCTTTGTCAAAGATGTTAACTAAAATCTTCTGTCCATTCCATGAACACAGGAAAGATCCCCAGATGTCTTGATCCAAAGTGGTCCGTAGAGAAATTCTTTGGAATGTCCTAGGATTGGCTGTAACTAGAGTTCTGGCTACCATTTGGACCCTGTTCTCCTTCACTGTTTGGAGGAAAAAAATCCATACATCATTGAACAGGTGTATAACATTACATGTCATTTTAACAAAACAAGAAAAATATGATGTTCTGAAAGTAGTAAGTGCCTTGACGAAAAATACTTCAACATGCACGCAAGTAAATTAAGAAATTCTGTGCAGTTTCATTAAAACACAAATGTTATTCTGTACATGTATAAAGAGCTTCAGTGTATTTGAATAAAAAGTAATTTCAATATATCTGCCAAGCTACCGGCATCACGTTCTAGGGGCATTAATGCCCTTTCTGAAACTACAGATCCAGGTTCTCACTCAAGCTGGCTGTTTATAATAGAAAGATCTGCACTGTAAAAGAAACCCAAATATTGCACTTAAAGTAACTGTTTACTTCTCTACTCAGGCTTAAGATAGGATCCCAGTTTTCCTGCATGAAAGGCATATTAACCGACAGAGGTACCATACCTGTTTGGAGGTGGTTTTGGTTTAGGCATTTTACTAAGAATAGTAGCCATCTCTTTCCTTTCATCAAAGTTCTTCCACTGCTCGTACAGCTTCAAAATAACCCTGATTATTTCTAAAATCTAAGTAGTACAAAAAAAAAAAAAGTATATAATATGCATATATTAAGGTCAGATGCAGCATTGATTTATCATAGTCGGTTTAAGTGTGCAATTACCTAAGCATGCCTTGAACTAAATTAGGAAGTAGAATTTTGACCTTAGAGTCAGTTCACATTTAATCTGGCTTGGCAATCAACCACTTCTATAATTAGTTTTTTGATGTAATCATGAACATAAGGCTGAACCAAAAACTTGTCCATCCTATTCAGAACTGGATAGCCCACAGAGAGCTGAAGAAAGAGACCAAACCAAATAATGCCCTAAGTGAGAGACACCTGGCAGCATAGCAAAGAAAGTCCTTCAGTTGTAGATAGGACTCGCAGACTAAGGACAGAAGTAGAGCTGGAAGAGAATATGTCCAACTTCACCTCTCAAGAGTGATGGCAATGTATAGGGATATGCAGGAAATATGGGGCCTATAATGAAAAAAGAGCAGCAAAACTCAGATTGCTCAGCATACTCAAGGCAGGAGCAACACATAATCTCCACTGCAAAAGCCTTTAAGAACTAGTAAATGAAGCAGCAAGTCTGGCAGAAAGTGTACTTATTAAATCTATCAGGCAAAAGCTGTAAATATTATGACTGGGACGCTGTAGCTCTAGCTCCTCTCCTTGAGGAGAGCACAGGTCCAGACACACAAAGGCCTTCAGCATCATCTGAAAGGCACGCAAAATTTGAAGTATTTTTTCAAGATGTGGGAAGCAAGGGCAGAAGAACAGAGAGTAGGACAACTCGGATTCCCTGCAGGGAGATCATGCCAGGGCTACCCAAAATCCTCTTTGATAGAACTGCTATTCTACACAAGAGAGAGC